GTGCTCACACTCACAGATATACGCGCGTATACACATATTTTATAGTAATTCACACACACACACACACACACACACGCACACAATGAAAGATCTGTAGGTGGTGTGTGCGTGTGTACACACAAATCCGGGGGGCCACCGGGGTGCAAATCCAAACTCCAATTTCACACTGGAGCGGACACACCGGATCATTGGATGAAACCGGCCGCCGCCGCAGACAATATTATATTATATAAAATACGCCGTGTGCGTGTACAGTATATAATATATCGGTTACACAAAAGGCCAAACAATGCGCACCGCGGATTAACTTATTTATACAACATGTGTTCTGTCGGCTTTAAACGGTTCAGATGGGTGGTCCCAAGCCCGGTGGCCGTACACACACACACACACACACAGACACACGTTGGCACACAAATCACATATATACAATATGATGGTATACCTAAACAGCTAGCCACAGTGGCGGCACAATATAAAATATATATTACCTGGCGCGCGCGAGTGTTTGTGTGTGTATGTGTGTGTGTGTGTGTGTGTGTTTAAAATGTAGGTAATCGCGGAAATTGTTGAGTGAGGAGCAATAATAAAGGACTATATTATATTACGGTGTGCATTATAAAAATATATTGGACGTAGGTATTAAAGGTATATATAGTTTATATATATTTAATGTATTAATATTATGTATGTGATGCATATTATATGATAATATAATGTACACAATAGCCGCGTACAGTTTCTGCCGCAAAGAACGCGCGTCCTACTATTTCTGTAACACACCCGCTCACTAAAGCAATGTCGCTCGTCATTTTTTTTCCCAAAACTCTGGAGGATTATCGCGAATCCAGCTCTTTTTACGCGCATTGTGATAATAATGTGCAGGTATAAATATCGTCATGTACCCATAATACACGTATCACATGTTAATATGTTATTTAACCCATATATTATATATATATATATACATATATAAGTAACTTACATACTATATGAATGCTTATATAAAATGAGACCCTATAAACGCACATTGTACATGATTGGAAAACTTCCGTGGGAAAAATCTCAATGGTTTTGTATTTATTATTATATGGATATGTTTTTACTCGAACGTTTATCATATAAATAATATATACCTACCTATTTTGAAGATTATTTAATATTATATTAATGTATATCCATTGAGGAAAACTAAAGCAAATTTTGATCTAAACAATCAATGTATTTAAATATAATATAATGTATCATTTCTTATAATTTTATAATCCTAATTGTAATTATTATTCTTGACAGCAAGCCACACGTGGCGTGAAATATAAAATACTTTATTTAACTGTCATACGCACGTATGTGCAATATGTGCTTAACATAAATATTGTTGAAATAGTTGAATAAAATACTATAAATGGCTATATATATATATATATATATATATATATTACTGTGTAAATTATAATGTATTAAATATTAGACAAATTTATGTGATTTTATTATTATTGTTATTTTTTTTTTTATTAAGAATAAAAGTTTTAACAACTACAACTTCACTAGGTCATTATCCTACAATGATTACATTTTCATTGCTATAATTTGATTATAGTTATTTGCTTAATTGTATGAGCTGGTAATTACTAATTAGTCACTATTAACATTGTTAGATTTACATTCATACTTTGTTTTATTACCATATGATTATTATATATTATAATTATCTATGTGAAGTATTTGTGGTGGCGTGGTACATATTATATGATGATATACGAAATTGTATGTATAGTTTCTGCGAAAGGACGCGCGTTTTCCTATTCCTGCAAAAACATATTGAATAATTTGATATCATCATTATATATTTACATAATAAATTAATTTTTAAATAAAAAAACAATAACCATCAACAATTTAATAAAATAATAAGATACTTTATTCTTTAATCAATTAAAATATTATTGTTAAAATACAAAGTTGTAGAGCATACAGTTTTTCAATTTATGTATGCACTTTCATGATTTTTAAAAAATGCTCTAGTGATAAAAATACGATATACGTAATATGGAATGATTTCAAACAAATACGTATTGCCTTATTTGTAAAAATAAATATGAATAATATTTTAGTTGAAATATTAAACTTGAAATAAAGTTGAATAGGTTTTGAATTATTAACTCATTTTTTACAAAAATACTGGAAATAATATAGAAGGATACTATACGACTAGTTATCGGCATAGGACTGAAAGTCTCATGTATTCTTCTATTTATTGGATAAGTATATTGATAATTGAATTAAAAAATAATAATAATAATAATATTGGTTAGAAAATAAAAAAAAACAAATGTAATCTTTATTAATTTATCGGCCCTATCGTCAGTGAAGTACGACGTGGGGAAATCAATTTAATATATGAAAAACAACGGTTCTAAAGTATAAAGTTCAAATGTAAAAAGATCTGTTTACCTATTATGTCTTGGTCTATTTCAAGGCCGCTCGCAGAAATTTTTCTCAGGGAGGAGGGCAGCGAAAAATAATACACTTACCATAAATTCTGTTTTTTATATCACATCGTAAAAAAAAATTATTTACTTATTTTAATATCGCAAGTGTCACCTTATCAGTTATCAGTCCTCCTTATCGCCCTCCAAGACGCTATATAAAATGCAAATAAATGCAATAAAAATTAGGTAATATCTTAATTAGCGGGGAGCGGCCTTGGTCTATTTATATTAAGAAGTTTTTAATTTTTAGTGTACTTTTAATAGTAAAATAAACAAAATTAATTATTATTTGTTATTTTTCATTGCCTTTTTTCGAGTAATATTTTACTAGGAAATTTTTCTCAATTATCAAGATAATATCTTTTGCGTTAAACATGTGATTTATTTTCCGGAAGAAAAAAAGCCACATTTAATTTAGTATTTTTGTCGTATAATTGTGTCTATAAACATATTACATTGGCACATAGACCGAGGAGAAATCTACACTTTACCTAGCCGCAGTAACTCTATGTGTATAATGTAATTTTTTACATGAATAAAATAATATTTTTACACTTCCATAAATGATAAGATTTTGCTTTTGTCGATATACTGTCTTAAGTCAGCCTTGCCTTACCCACACGGGTATATATAGTTTATTATAGGTAAATATTTTAAAAGTCACGCGTTTGAGGCGGTGCTTTCGTGAAGGGTGGTGCTCTTCCGAGTTCTCAGTATAGGATTTTGATTTTCACCATTTCACATTGCGCTATTGTTGTCACTTTTTGTTAGTATCGACTGCCACGGGGAAGCGCGTGCTCGAGAAAATCCGATATGAGGAACTTTGAAGGTGCCATGACCTGTGCGCACTGCACGCAAATTACATCTTTTATTTTATGAACGATTGCCGTAGATACACTGGTTTTTAGCTTTTTAGACACTTGAGTGTTTATGAAAATTTTTATATCTAATTTATAAACTCGTAATAAATTAATGAGATTTGTTGAGCAAATTAATGAAGTACTTTTTTACATCCAAAATACATTTTTATCTTTAAAACATGCAAATAATAAACTAGTTACTTTTACAAGTTGTTCAAGGAGTGCTGTTATTGTAAAAATAGAGGTATATACATGTGAGTGGTGATTTAAGAAGATTAATATTTCGATCCGCCACTAGGTCAGGTACCTATAAGTTATGAGTATTCTGAATATAGATCTAAATTATTGGAATGGTTAATTTTTAATAGAAAAATACGATATGGTGTAATGAATTTATATATTTAACTAACTAAAACAATGTACAAAATAATAATAATGCATATTAAGCCATATTACAATAGGTATATTTTATAATATTATAATAATACTTATTTTATAATATGAATATATTAAATATTAGTGACTAGAAATTGAATTAAATAATATTATCATACCTATTTATGTATGATGTATATTATTTACGCATCATTATGAATATAAATTATAAACTATTTTTTAAAACACATTTAAATCTGTTGCAAAATAGCAAGTATAACGAAAAGCTTACATAATTATATAACATCTTGCTAATTTTCATATCCTATAATTATTAATAATCAAACCTACAATGTTTCTGTGAACTATTTACTATTAAACTTATATTTGCTTTAAATATTTGGAATTTGCTTATAGATTCCGTAAAATGCATAGATATATGATGTATACATACAGTAGTGCAGCTATATATAATTAAAAACATGGGAAATATACATTAACAATTTGAGTTCAAATAAACATTATAAGAATATATACACTATGCTTAAAATTTCTTGCTGTCGAATGCTGCAGAAATTTTTATTTAAAATTAAGTAATAACTATCATGTAAAATTAACATGTTGCGTAAATTATTTAATTTAACGATTATTACAATATACACAAATAATTTAAACATAAATAAATAATTCATAAGAATATACACGCAGTATTATTGTGTAATAAAATAAGTAATAACATAGTATGTGAGATGTTTATATGATTATATAGCTTATATCAATTACATTATTAGTATAATACATCGCATAAAGTTTTTGATTTTTTGTCAAATCTTCAAGAATATGAAACTTTGTAAAAGCTCAGCGAATATAATATATAATATGGAACCAATAGTTATTAGTTTGGTACAAATACATTTCGTTATTAACGTTATTTTTATTTTGTTATACAAATTTATAAGACGTAATATAATAATATTATTTTTAAATAATATGAACATTTTTAGTTAAAATATTTAATTTATGTAGGTATTAAATATAATATTGTATTATACTGTTATATGTGTAATATATATAACCTATATGTTGCGTTAGATTTTCATAACACACATTATAATAAGTATAAAAAGCATATAGGTAACAAATGATGATATTTTTAGCTATTCGGGTGTTTAATATTATCAATAAAAAAGACAAATTTTAATAATTATAATTATTGATGCAAAGAAACGCTTTTAAAATATCAAAACACATCTTAAAAATAAAAACGCATCGTTTCAGGTTAAAAATAAACCACTTCTTCAGAAAATGTATAAAAAATGCAAACAATTATTTATTCAGTCAATAGAATTTACTCAAGCAACTTCTAAGTCTGAAGAATCGGGATCTTCTTCAAGTTCTTCTTCGTCCACGTGCAGATGAACTAACCGCATGGGATCACCCCCCCTAGCCGCAGCTGCCGCTACTGCAGCTGCTAGACCATTAGACACTCCAGGCTGTTCCACTAGATGATGTTGCATTTTCCTCAGTCTATCTTGTTCTTCACGTCTTTGCTTTCTCCACTTTGCTCGACGGTTTTTAAACCATACCTATGGACACAAGATATAACTAATTTATTTTAATAAACTTATAATGCAACAAAGACAAAGACTTAATTTAAAATAACGTGAAAAAATTCTAAAATGTCATAAATACCTATTAATATGACTTAACATATTATAGGATATTGTTGATCGAGTCACACATTGAGTAATAATTATTGAAATCTAATTAAGATAATGTTGTTTTTATTTTTTATTTCTGAAACAAAATTTCCCAATACTTTGGATATTTTATAGTTTTTGATATTTTTCATCTGTTAATTATACACATTTCAGTGTATACTTGTAGATTCGTGACTTTGGGATCACTATAACTCCATGGGTATTGATGATAAAAATCGAAATGCGTAATGAACAGTATTTAAAATTTAGCTTAAATATTTTTAAACTCTGTTGTTCGTTACGGATTTTTTAGAATAATTAATTATTAAATATTTAAAATTAATGAAATAAAATTTTTGAAATCTTAAATTACAATTTATCCAGTCATTGAATCTAATTTAAACATATAATCATCTAATTTATTATAAGTAGTGTAAATAAAAACATGTGCACGCTTACATTTTTAGATTCACATTAGAAACTTGTCTTCAATTTTAAAATATTTACTTTATTTAAATAATACCTGAAAACTGTAAATTACATTTAAGATAAGTGCTTAATAACTAATTGCTGTTTACTATATAATATATATTATTGTTTCATTGTAATTTAATATTTTAATAACACCTACAGGTGTCCGAGTGTCTGATGGTCTACGATATAATGTATTTATACGAGTTGATACTTCAATAATAAATAGTAATTCGATAGTAATTATTATGCACATTATGCAGCATAATGTGGAATATGTATTTAAATACCAAATAATTTTATTTGTAAGTATGGGTTAAAATATTTATAAATAGGCATAATGGAACGATCGAGTGTTTAATAAAAAAAAAAAAAACAACAGTAAAACAATAAAAAAGGCTTTGTAATTGAATTAAAATGTTTTATTTCTATTACGTAAAAATATGTCTCCTTGTTTTTCATTTAAATTACAATAATAAATGATACTTTTTAATAAATTGTGATTAAACATATCATTACATGGTAAGTACATAGTTACACTAATGAAATACATAAATGTTGCGTAATATTCAGACAGGCAGATAGACACACACACACACATATATATATGATAAATTAACCTTTAAATATTTAATATTAATACATTTATTATTTTATTTTCATGTTTAAACTATATTTATATCTTTGATAAATAGAATAAAAATAAATAAATGTTGGTGTTCGCAAATGTAGAAAAATATATTTAATAATCTTAGAAGTACGCTTTTACATAACTATGTTATTACCTACATAGCGAACGAGGGGTGTTTTTTTTTATTATGTTTTGCTTTTATTTTACATTTTTATAAAATATTCTTTTTATAGATACAAAGAATTCTGATTATCATCATTGAAAAAATGTCATACCTCCCCTGCGCATGCATGATGAAAACGTCAAAATACGCTACACGTAGCAATAAGATAATAAATTGTAATATTATCATGTATTGGGGAACATCAGTCAAAGACGGCCTTTGTACCAATTATTTCGGTCTCATAAACACACCAATGTTTTCACGGATCAGTTGAATTTTCCCGTGAAACACAGGTAATGTGCTATAGTGTTCAATGGTGTGAGATTTGTCAAATTTTATGCAGACATGATATTTAGTATTTATACATAAAATATTATATTTTTATAGAATTATATTTAGCTCTGGTATAATCATTGTTTTACATTTACTAAACAATTCAACAAAGAGGATATTCAGTTGTATTTGCATTTTGTAGATCAAAAAAATAAATAAAATATAATAATATTAAATATTTGTATATAACATGTCTTATAACGTTGTATAATACACCTATAAATTATAATATGTTGTATTTATCAAAATTAATCTAATTTTTACGGGAAATGCTTTATATTCAAGTAATAATAGTTTATATAGTTCTAGTATATATATGAAAAAAAAAAATTCTAAAATGTTGCGATAATAAAGACATAAGTTGACTAATATAATACATAATATACGTTATGACTATTTTTTTAGGAGGTGGTGCTGAAAATGTTATTATATGAAATATATGCAGAAATAATTCAAATTTTTCTATTGGTTCCAAGTGTCCTTATTTCCCACGTCCGGATTTGAATGATGACCAGGGATGGCACGGCCCTCAGGGAGCTTATTGTATTTTCCGCGTTACAGTTGAATAGCCTTATGATAATAATAAAAAAAAATACTTCAGCCAGCTATATTCTTATGAATATATGGTATGAAAAAAAATATTTACTATGTATATAGTATTATAAAATAATAATATTTTATGAAAAAATAACACACAGCTCGCCTTAGTGCCCTTAGTAGTTGTTTATGTTTCGTTAAAAGGATTCTTTATCAAATTGACGTATTGTTTTTGCGTAATTCCTTCCCTTTTCCTTGCGGGTATCAAGATACATTTTATAAAAAGTTTAGGGTTCTTTCTGGATTTTGTATTATTTTTAATTTTTTGTCTGCTTTTTTAAACTTATGTAAAGATGAGGTATACTTATTAAGTCAACGAAAGTCGACACACAGATGTGCATTGTACACAATCAAAATAAACGAAGAAGAGCGGTTTTATTTTTAAATATTACGACAAAGTATAAGTATTGATAAATGTTTTAAATTTTAATTGTGAGACTAAAATAATGATAATATTTCTTTTAAGAAATACAACAACTTCCGCCACACAATATTTTTATATTGTATTATTATAATGTTACTGATGAGCATTTTGAATTCTTAGAAAGTTTTTTCCATTTGTTTATACCATACAATTTATTTGTGTATATCACATGCTTTAATTTATAAATATTTACTATAGGTACGTACTAATAACAATATATATTTTAGTTAAAATAAGTACTAATAAACACAAATCTTAAAATGCTTATTAGCTAGAAATATATTAATTTTAAATATTTAAAAAAGTAGATTTTAACATTAATATTATAATTGTAATAAATATAAGTACGTTTCGTAAATTGAAGATTCTGCAGTTTATGTTAAAAAAAAAAATAAATAAATAACACATTTTAGTTTTGTAATGATGGTTAAATTAATATATTTTGATGAAAATCCATTATTCTCTTTTATGGGTTTATGAATTCTAATGGCAAAACGGCTAATAATAATAAAAAGCTTTTGACACAATTGGAGATTTTCATTTATAAGGGTTCGAAGATCAACAAAGCACAGAGTGCCCTAAGTTGGTTAATCATCGCCGAGGAAACTGTATAAAAGCCATTTCCCATTAATTCGTCTTGTAAACATGCGAATATTGTTACGGAAATAGAGAAAACGAAACCATATCATGAAATTTAATTAAAATAAATCCAGAAGGTTCATTGTTACCCTAAAGCCATTCGACCGAACCCAATCAAAACACTTCAGAACGTGATTCCTCGCCCCTAAAACGAGTAGCTAAAGAGAGAGAAAAAACCTCTTAACCCCGACAACTACATTATATTATATAGATTTCCTATCAATTACACCCCTAAAATAATAAACATGTGCGAGTTTTCACAATCGTTTATGGCAGGCTTCGGTAATAACCGCATTAGAAAATGAGAGAAAAGAAAATATTGTACCACAACGATACTTACTGTACATTTATATCGTTATATTATTAGATTAGGAATTATTTCTCTTCATGATTCTTTATTAGAATATGTAGTTTTGTAAATGATAATTATTTTTTTCAAAGCTTTTTAGTCATTTATTATTATAGTTTATTATATAAATTAATTAAATATACAACAAAATAATACATACACCAATATTTGAATATTTAAATCGAACATTAAAACGATTTAAATTAATAATCTTGCGGTTTAATGAAACTTGATTTTATATTAAATGTTTAAATATAAGCATATTAATACTTTTTACTTTACTTAGACTTGTATTAAATACAGTACCTTGTTCTTAGTTACGTTTGATTTTGAAATACTTGTAGATAACTAAGTTGTATAAAAAAAAAATGTAATTTTAGATGTGAACGATAAAATTGTTTATAGTGAGAGGATTGACTATTAAAAGGTATAAAACAAAGAAACTAATTGTATATTAGTTAATATTATTTTTAAGATAGCTACACTAGATTTTGCTTAATTAATTAATATTCATAGAAAAATATCTTTATACAATTATTTAACATTAGTATTTGAAATTTAAAAATTAGTTTGTTATTATGAAAATAAGTTTAAAAGTCGAGGATGTTACAGAAATTGAATATTTATTATATGCTTTGCTCATCTTGATGCAGGTTAATAGCATAATATAGATTCTATATAAAGTATATTGTAACATTAAATTGTATTATTGAGATTCACGTCATGATCGTGTTTTAAAATTATTTGACAGAAATTAGTAATATTTTTTTCTCATTTTGTTTGAATAACATTTGATTGTAAACTATCTTTACTTAGTAAGTATTTACAAAATATAATTATTTTTGTTTTTTTAATAGTTTTTCTAAGGAAAAGTTAGAACGAATGATACAAATAATGTACAGATGTTGATTTAATTTTACTTAGCTTTAAATTATTATAAAAATGCTAACATATTGCAGCCATTAGGTTTACAATTCACAATATATCACTATCCAATGTTCAGGTGATTGATATGGGGCAAGTGTATCCAAGTATCCAACAACCGGTTTTCCGGTGTCTTAGGTATTTTAAATCGTAGAATGTGTACTTAAAAGAAATATTTATTACTTATAAATTATAATTGTATATATCTATGTGGGTGCATAGTAGTTTTGAATTGTTTTTTTTAATATGTTTGTTTATATTCGTATAATCTGAATGTAAGTATTTAGGTACTTATCAACTTATTCTACTTAAAAGTAACGTATAGTCTCTAGTATTAAATGTGTAATAATATAATACATAATACCTATGTATAATATACATTGTATAATATATATATATATATAAATATGTAAACGTTTATAGGCTAACTAGGTTTACTTTAAAGCAGTGGCGGAACCAGGATTGAATTTTGGAGGCCTAAAAAATTACTTCTGAGCAATTTATACATTATAATTTTCTAGTTCTTGTGTTCCTAAAAATGTGAAAAAAAATGGTTAAGCGAACGTTATTAATTTTATTATGGCTGAATTAGGAATCGCTTATGTTTAATAGGTACCTATAATAATTATACTATTATAAATTTTAACTATTTTACTTTAAATAACTTCTATTATACAAAATCTAATCTGCACTTATTTTTTAGAAGTAAAGTTATTTATAATTATTATTATAATGCGTTATTACACAATTTAAAATATTTGTGTAAGCAAAACGACTGTTGAAGAGGTCTGGGCGGGGCTGAGGCCTTTAGCTCCCCCTCTGGATTCGCCACTGCTTTTAAGTTTAAATGAGGACTAAAAACTAAGTTCTAACCTCAACTCGTTCTTCTTTTAAATCTACTTTCAGCGCTAACTGCTCCCTGAGCACTACGTCTGGGTAATGTGTCTTTTCGAAAGTCGCTTCTAACTGTTCGAGTTGTTCTTCGGTGAATATTGTCCGGTGCCTTCTCTTTCTCTTGGCTGGTGGGCCGGCAAACATGGACGCGGGACCGTGATGGTGACCGCTGGCAGTCCCGTGGCCTCCCGTCACCGCCATGGCCATCATGTAACTAGGATAGATACTTTGGTAACCAGCCGCGGCAACTAAAACGACCGAAAAAAAAAAAAATTACAAATTAAATAACTAACACAGTGTTTTTATCGAGAATTTAAAAACCGAAAACCTGCAATTACTGCAGCGGTCGCATAACGTTAATTTTTTTTCATCGGTTTATTCGAAGCCCGCAGTGTTTTGGTTTCCCGAACAATATTAGGTATTAGGTATATGGTTATTACTTGTTATACTTTCGGTGACCGTGGAAATTATTTGGCGGAGAACTTTAAAGAACAAATACGCGTCTTATAAATATTGTTTGTTGGAGTTGGGGGAGGGGGAACTGGAAAGCAATTTGAAGAAAAACCCGCGAATAGTGTACAACATAACACGGGCGGCGGGAAGGTCGATATTCGTATATATACGTTATTATATCATGTAGCGCATGTATACATATGCATACATAACACAATACCGCCGGGCACCGTTGATCTGATTTGAACCGCAGACACGGGGAACAATACAAACACGCACGGCCGTCGTTGTGCATTACTTATTCATGGTTGATTAAAGTTCGATCCGCGTGCGCGGGCATTGGCGTGGTCTCTTCGACCCGAGTACAGAGGTGCGTATATGTACGAGGGGGCGAAACAAAGCTCTTAGGATTTGTTAGATTTAAGTATCGCGTATGTATACACACACACACACACACACACACACACACAAACAAACACACACCCACACACACATATATGTATAAAGATAGATTTGTTAACCGCGAGCTCGGGGAGCCGAAACAAAACGTTGAAAACAGAAAAAAAACCAAGGATTTGCCCGGAAGTTGTGAATATTACAAATTAAAAACCGTACCCGCCACGGTTCTAAGTGATTTATAATATACGTAGGTACTCACCTACTATATAGTAGTAACCTACCTACTACGAGTACACAGTATACTAAAACAATAAAATACGAAAAATACAAACTGATTGATTGACTGCGCATTTTACCGATGTCGTCGACGTATAATTTTGTGTTTACGAAGCGCATTACTATTATTGATCAGGGTTTATAATATTATGATGCAATGATCATATTTATTTTTTAATACTATTTTAATCTTTTGATTACGTGTTGTCTTTAGATTATAATAATTTATAAAATTTTCCTTTTCAAAAAAGTGTATGGTTATTGTTTTGATAAACACTGTAGGAAATTTGGCGAGTATTATAATATTTTTGTACGGCGCGAGATATAATTATAACTTGTACTTGTATGTTAGAAAATTATACCAAGTGTGTATAATTATATTATTTTCTTGACGAGATCAACGTACTCGTAGCTTTTCAACTATTTCAATAATGATTTAACGAGTGTAAAAATGTATTTATCATATGTTTTTATTAGAGCAGAAATATTATTCAATACTGCAATCTATACTATATATTTTATTATGTATATCGTATAATGTAATATATATATATTTATATAAATATGAACGCTTGAACGTATTTATTATTTATTAAGAATTTGGAAAAATCACTGTTTCATATTTTTTTCTCAATCTATGTTGAAGTCGTGTTTACTTTAAACCAACGCGTTTATTTAATACGTGTATTGTGGCAGTCAGTGATTTTTTAAATGTTAAAGTACGAATATCAACAAGCGATTTTGTCAGTTTGTGCAGGTTTAAGCGTTTTCGTCATCCCCGCAAATATATCTTCGATCCGCAAAAACCCCATTATGCTCGATCAGGTGTATTTGCATTACATTATTATTATACTTGAAAATATCAGAAATTGAATGTCACACTGTGCACAAAGCATTGCACGGCCGCGCGGCTTCACACGGTTCACGGGATCTTTTTGAATGCGCGAAGCAATTACTCGCGAAGCCTTTGCATATTGCAAATGGATTTAAAATACCACACAAAACACAGATGTTTACTGGGTGGCAAAGGGGAGATTTGAGTGTAATATTATCGGCTGTCCACGTGTCGAAAAAACACAGTGCTTGGAAATAAAATATGCAATATGTTATGTATAAAAGCATTTATATCACGTGAGGCGAGTATATATTTTACACCGTGCCAGAATTGTGCATTGACACTTCTGTGTTATATCGATAAAATTTAATACCTCATACAAATTATATTATTTGAAAATATATTAACTTTATATGCGCGATTCAATAATAAATAAGATGAAGCCAAACTCGGTAATATTGTACTTTTATTCATCTATATTTGTTTTATTCACAATTGTATTGTATTATTTGTTTTTTTTATTTTTATTGTCATTAAAAAAAATCACGGAAGATGGCTCATAAATTTTACATATTATTTACATTTTATTGAAATTTGTCATCAATAGACAATTTCTTTTAAGAATTTTATTATTAGAGTCTCACGCAGTACACAATGTTCTATGCTTTCAGTCATAACTATAAGTAATCACTTTAATTACGGGGATAGAATAATTCAGTTGAAGTCTCTGAAATATTTGATCTGAATCAACAATGTATTTATATTTACAATTAGAAATAATTTTACTTAAAATACATTAAATAATATAGTTCATGTTTAAAAGTTGCCTTCGTGAGCGTCTAAATAAATAATGTTACTTCTACAAAAATCTATAAAACGTTAGTTATTTAGGATAAAACTAAAATGTTTAAAAGTAAACCACATTTAAAATTCTCAATTAAAAATTAGTAAAACTATTTATGAAACACAATTTGACAATAAAACCAACTTTGAAATTTGAAATGAATGTTTACTGTTTAGATAAATGAATGGTTAATTTCTTTTTTACTCTACATAATTTTGCAAAACAATAAATAATTTATCAAAGATTACCATATTTACCCATCCAAAATTAACCCAGTTTCCATATTATGGTCCTGTTAACACTTATTGTAAACAATTATTTTATAGATTGTGTAACAAAAAATTTAAGTTAGAAAATAAATTAAGTATTTAAATGATACAGAACAACTATTTTATACTATTTAGTAATATTCAAATGTTTATATAAAAACAATTGTAGTTTAACGATTAGCTTTTTATTTTTAAATTCCAACTAGAAAAAGTAATGAAAAATTTTCTATTAAATTATGAAGATTTTTGACAAAGCAATAGTACTGTTTATCGGCATTTATAGAAAAAAAAATCAAAAATTTCAAATGGCAATTAAAAGTTCAAAAAGAGTCAAAATATTTAAAATATGTATTTAAATGTTAGTTGAAAATTTCAAGTATTTACGGTTATTTGACTTTGAATTAAAACCAAATTTTGTCAAAAATAACTAATGTTGCTTAAATATTCCTGTTTTTTTTTCTTTTAATTATTCTTAATTATTAAATAAGTAGTAGTCATTTTTCTTTCTTTAATATTCCAATTTGAATTTGCTTCTAGAAACCTACCACTAACTTGAAGATCAAAGCATTTCAACTACTACAAAATGTGTTTTGCTAATAAATACATTTATTTCTCTTCTCGGACTTAAAAAAATAAGTGATAATAATATGAACAAGTATTATATAAATATAGTATTATACCTTATTGTTTGTTTTATCGATATAATTCAAACAAATACTCAATATGTAATTTTTTTCATTGTACACTATTCACAATTTAATATGCGAGGTAATAATATAAATAAATGAGCGATGTATAATATGCTGGGTTTGAGTTGCACTTGCTTGGTATACCTGTACATAATAAGGCGTTTGTCTCACTTCGCTGATATTGATTAATGATTATGAATCCCGTTTTTACTTTTTAGTTGAATTATGTTTGGAAAATATGTAATAAATATTTTTTAATTATTTAAGTATAGATTTGGAAGAATTAGTAAGCAAAACTATAATATTAGTTACGCGTTACCATCATTCAACTAAATAAAAATTAAGTCATATTCAAAAGTCGTAATTTAACATAGTTATATGTATATTTAGGAAAACGATAAATGATTTGATATTTTAATCAATACTTATTGAACTTTAATATATTATGTTATATGGAATAACATTTCATATTTAATTTTAAAACTTTCATTTAATAACTTTAATAAGTATATTTGGAGGGCATTGTTGGAAATTTTGGAAAATAAAATAGATGTTATGGAAAATATACTAAAGAAAATATGAAATAAAAATCAGAAATTATTACATCTTGCTTACGAGTAAATACAATTTTTTTTTCAGTTAACTGTTTAAAATATTTACTGGTTATAAAAGATATGGTTACTAAAATTTTATTTAGATTATTGTGAAGAAATTTAACGAATATTTGAAAGAACTATATAGAAGTGGGCGAATGTCCCAGCCGCTAATTTTGTTAGATTAGGTAGTAGGTATTTTTTTTTCTAAAGCCAATTTTAAAATTGTTTTGAATCAAAAATGTAAACTATAAACTGTAATTTAGATTCTAGATTATCAACTCTGGCTATCATTAAGGATTTATTGATTTATAATTTGTTTTGTACACATTTGACGTTGCTTACAGATATAATATATCCTGTGTCGGTTCATATAATTGTATAATGAATTGATAAGTAGAATCTATAATCCTCACGTAATCACGTGTTACATTGTAAAATATATGTGTTTAATTCTAATAGAGTATGTCCAGAGATTATGAGTAGACTATATAAAGACTTAAATCTGACTTATTATATACATCAGATTTTACTCATCTTTTTAAACTAAATACTAATAAAAATATTTTACAGTAATTACTGAGGCATGTTTTGTACAATTATGTATTTCAACTTACATTACCAAAACACTGAAATATGATGATATAAATTAACTTAATATATTCAATACTCACAAAAAATAAAATGTAAACAGTTAAAATTATTTTATTATTTATACAAGCATCATATTATGATTGTTAAAAAAAAAAAAAAAAAAATAGTAAATATATAATATTATAAGATAAGAAAAAATCATCTATTACCAGTGGCGGCGCGTTAGGGTAGACAATGAGACATAGTCTACCCAAAAATCCCAAAAATATAAAACAATTTAATTAAAAAAATTAGTTATTTATTATAATATGATACTATACCTACTATATAAGTATTTTATTTGTTCATAATTTTATAAATAAAATGTTATTTACACTGATTCGTCTCTACAATGTCTGTGTGAGTAACGACTAACGAGTATGACTAAATAATAAATATATATAGTATAATTTTATTTATATCTTATCAATAATTATGTAATCGCTCCGTTGTCGCCGTCAAATCGGTCGAGACATATTGAATTGTGTCTCACTATTGATGACGAGGGCTTATGACATGGTAAACGGGGACGTAGTGGGGTATTACCAAAATTATATGCATGGACGAGACATGTCTCAACGTAATATTTTAGTAATTTAATTGCACATTTGCATTCCGATTGTGGTTAATGGCACACGTTTAATGTTTATCATTTTTTCTTAATGAAGTGATATACATTTAAAACTTAATATGTCAGATATTATTGATATTATTTTAAATAAAGGTCTTGGTTCTTTTTCGCAACAAAACAAAATCGGCGAATTAATTTAAATTATATTCAAATATAGTTATTTTATGTAATTTACTTTTTTTTATGATGATCTAATTTTTAAATAAATTTTATATAACACCATATTATCTTTGGTTGTCTTGTTGTCTACCCTACGAAATTGTTCACGCGCCGCCACTGTCTATTACCAACTATTGATAAAGAGTGTATTAAAGTGGAATAAATAGTATTGGAGCTTATGGGTTGTAACTATTTCCAAAATTCCAACAGCCTTAATAAATGCTTAGTACGACTAGTAAACTAAGTCAAAAATTTGAAATAACTAACTATTTTTTATTTTATGTTACAACTGCAGTTAATTGTTATAAGAAATCTTATTTGAATAAGGCAAAAGAGTGGCGAAATAACAATAAAAAAAAAAAAAAAAAAAAAAAACACGGTGGAAAATGGTCTAGCCCCCCTCTAGAGTTTAATCACGGACATTGATATTATCACAGTGCTCATAATAAATTAATATGCAAGCTAGACAAAAATACATTATACGTAATTAAAGTACCGCGCAGGTACTCGACGCGAAAACTCACCTAAAAAGTTTGCGGCAGTGGAGTGCGCATATCCGGACGCGGCCGCTGCGGCTGCCAGGTGTCCAAAGCTTAACGGCTGTTTGAAAAACCCGGTGGCCGCTGCCGTGGCTGCGGTCACGTTGTTGCGGCCAGAGGCCACCGCGACGGCCGAGTCGTCAGACGACCTGGACGGGGCTAGTATACTGTCGATGGTGAACAGCGATGAACCGACAGCAGACGTCTTCGGCACAGCCGCGGAACCGGCCGCCGTGCAGGTGGCCATCGCCTGTCTCCGGGCGTCGGAGTCGCAATCGCACTGTTCCCGCGGCAGCGGCGACGACGACAAGCCGCGCTCGTCCACCGCGGTCGTGGCGACGGTGGAGTTCGGTGGCCGTTCCGGTCGATCGCCGTTGTCGCCGAGACCCGCCGAAGGTCCGTAAACAGCACCGCCGCCGTCACACGCCGTCCCGCCGAGTCGTCCGTCCAATTTCATCGGTTTCTGCGGACGCGGGCGCACTAAAAGGATGTTGTCCGGGACCCGGTTCGCGGATATCCGGTGCAAGAGAGTGCAGGCTACGGCGGCGGCGTTCACCGTACGGCCGCAATCGTCATCGCCGGTCCCGTGCAGTCGTGTTTAAAATACGTTATTGGCGTTTAGTGCGCGACAGCGGCGAACACTGCTCGCGACAATACACGCAATAATTATAATGTTTGGTGGGTATCAATAACGTTCGACGGCGAACGAGCGAAAACAACAAAAATCGATTTATCCGATGTACACCTACCTTCCTACACGTGCAATCGCGCGTTCTACACGTCGTACACACGCCAGTGTTATTATTAACATGTATTATATGCTCAGTGTTTTTCAGTATTACGCGCCAACGATAAACGTTTAATAGAGCCGTCAATCGTTTAAGTGCCGCGCGTTACGTTTGATTACCGCCGTCGCGGACTAGTGTGCGGGCTACAGCGGGGTGTCGGCTACACCGCGTCGGGTTCGGGTGTCGCGCGCGCCATTGGTCGACTGCCCGTGGGGCTGGTACACCCCGGCTTGTTCTACGGTCCCGAGGGGCGTGTTCGGCGGCGTTCGCATAATCGGCGCCGTTCGGCATTTATTCGCCACCCTCCTCCAGCTACAATCGCCGCCGCGCCGTGGATCAACCCCGCGCAACGTTTTACCGCCACCGCGCCGCCGCCGCTGACAGCACACCACCGGTCCCTGTCGTTGTATTTACATTGACACATGGGTCGCGCGCGTTCAGTTTCCTCGCCAGCCACCGCCGCCGCTGCCACCGCCCCTGATGCTATTTTGTGATTTGTCAACATAATCTATTGCCAATAGCACCCTACACCCCGGAGGAAAATTTTTTCCGAACGCTCACCGAATACCATTGTAATAATGATATCAGGTTTTCTAAACATTTTAAATCGAGGTATTTACAAACATACTGTAAATTTTACAGCCCGCACATAGCAGTGAGTACCTACCTACCTACCTAAGTAATAATATAATGTGTATGCGACGACCATAGTAATAATATAATATGTATGCGTGCAACGGAACAATTAACGTCTGTAATAATATTATTATATGTGTGACAGGATGCATATTATGCAAGTTGAGCACACTACTACATGAAGGTTTGTTATCTGGTAGTTAGACGTTGCGGCTGTCGCTCGTAAGCTCAAAATATGAGACCTCATGCGCAAAATAACATTCACTTTTTAACGAACCGCATAAGCACAAATACTTTCGTTTTGATACAGTTAATCATTGTTAATATTGTTTCAAGTAAATTTCCGTTTGGCGTTCTTTAAGTATTTACAGATGACCAGTTGTGATTTTGAACCATCAGTATAATCTTTGCCTTGTTCGAAGGTGACTTGGTCCAGAAGTGTGATAAATACTTGCTGACGTTGTCAATAAAATTATGTAGATAATATAGTTATCAAAAAAATTTATTTGACGTAAGTTTATACTGCTTATACTGTATAATATATTGTTTATTTGTCTTTAATGATTATCAAACGTCATCACAATTAGTTATCATAAAATACGATGTAATAAAACCAAATGTTAACTGAACATGATCACTAATGTTTTAAACACCATATAATATATTTGTGAACGAATTATAACAAGCGTTAAATTTTAAACTGAAACTTATACAGAGCAACAGGTAAAATAGTGTACAATATAGTAAAATTTATTTTTGCATTTTGTCTCATTACTAAAGTACTTAATTTTGAGCTTTTAAGTATCACTGATACATTTCATTAGCTATCTTCAATATATCTACGTTATTAATATTATTATATTATGAAAGTATTTATTTTAAGAAAACAATAAAATATTATTAAAAATAATGAACTTTTATAAAAGAATTTGGGTCAGTAATGGTTTTTACAGTCCAAATTGCTAAAGCAAGATATATGCATGTAAGTTAAATAACAGATAGCCTTAAAAAAGATTAACCATTAACATAATATTATAATGTATTTTTAGTGTAACGAGATACTATAGTATTTTAATTTTTAATATACTTTATTAAAAGAAATACAAAATCTGTAGATAAAGACAAATGAGTAGGCTTATGATATGTAAGTAAAATTACGTATGGATATTTTACATTTGAGGCTAACCATTATAAATGACAATAATTGAATTTTAATTGGTGTTCAATTACAATTAACTTAAACATAGTACATATTGTCGAAACGATTATAGTACAATATCGGCTTCTTGCCAAAATTGCGTTTTAAATAATTGAAAATTTTCTCTAGGATTTTGATTATTTTATTTCCTACAATATATAAAAAAAAAAAAAAGTAATATTATTCTTTTGTTGTTTTATATTTCACAAATTCATCAGTCATCACACTAATCAATCATATTAATGGTATAATGATTTTTAACATTGAAAAAGCTAAATAAAAATATGTTTTATGAAGATTTCAATGTTTAGTACCTCCATATTAATTATTGAGCTCAAATAGATTAAAAAATAGTGCTTAAAAAAAAAAAATTGAAATTTTTTTGATAATAAGTTTTGTCAAGAAGCCGTCGATATTATTGTATATTAATTATTAACCAATATAAACAAGAAAAAAATCTTTAAATTAGTAAGTATTTAAAGAGAATCAATCATAGTCTCCTCCTAATGAGTTATAATACAAGCACACCCCTGTGTGATATAAAATATAAAATGAATATTGAGTGAATAACAACTTAAAATGTTTAGCTTTTATATGATACCCGACAACGGACACATAAATTGGATTTCATTTTTGAAGACTTGGATAAATTTTGTTTAAATCGTAATTTAAAATTCATTAGATTCAATAAATCTATTAAAATAAGATTATATGTACATATAATATATTTATACCTACTTATATGTAGTTAAATATAGTATAATAATTATCGGAAAAAATAGAACTTTATAAAATAACAAATACATTTAATTTAATTTTCTTAAATCACAGGTTTTCATGTTAAATTTAATTGCTTTCTAAGAGTTTATTGGAATTATTCTTGGAAATTTGTAAGCTTTTAAGCATTCATGTACATATTACATATAATTTAACTGTAAAGGTGTATTCGTAAATTAAAGAATATTATTCTTAGTTGAATTATTATTTTTTTTATTCATTTTTAAAATTTTTAACTATACGTATTATAAACAGTTATGATAAAATATTGTGTTTGTCACATAAAACAATGCGGTAGACTAAAATATTCTCATGCATAAAATACATGTAGGTACTATTATTGTTTGATATACTCGTAATGACGAAAAATAAAAACTATATTATAGATAAATATCTAAACAGATTGAATATATTGATAAATTTTTAAAGGTATTCTTAAACGAATTTTTAAGCACCCATCAAGTCAGTTAACTTTTATTTTTCAAGGTTTGAGAAGTATTTATGAAAATTTGTAAATTTTAAATTCTATGCAAAATGGTGAATATATTTAGTTTAATATAGTGTACATTTTATTATTATTTTTATTTAGGACTCATCGTATTTCAGAGAAATAAAAATGCTTCCATTTTCAATATCGAGGGTGTTTTCTTAGTTATTACAGAGTTAAAAATTCATAACATTTTTAATTTTTAATTTTAAGCTTGAGAATTCATTACAAAATTTCTCTTAAGAGGATTTGAAAAAAATAAGTCTAATGTAAAGCTACATTAATTTTTATTAGTGTTTGAAATTCTTATTATTTTGTTACTATTAAAAAAACGTTTAACCATAGAAACTTGAATTATTATTTAAATTCTTACTTTCTATGTACAATGCAATTATCAAAATATTTAAACTAGTTTTAAAGTATTTAATATTTTAGTTTTTATTTTTCTATAAATGTTAAGAAGAAGTTTTATTGGTAAAAAGGATAGGAAAATTAATTCAAAACTCTTTTTTCAGAAATCTAAAAATATCGGAAATTCATGTATAATATAAATATTTTTTTTTTCAATAAACATTTTATATTTAAATGTTTATAAAATCGTATTTTTAAACAAAAAATAAAAATTTTAGTTATTTTAAAGTAATAAAAAAAAAATATTATTTGAAGTGATCTTAAACTTTTTACCATAATGTATATTACTATTTATTATGAAAAAAGAAATTTTCATACACGAATACCTACATAATAAAATACATCATATAAATACTTTAATTCTATCAGTATAGCCATATAGTTACTACTTTATTTTTTATTAACTTAGCTAATACTTATAATTAAACATTAGTTATAAATGTTATAATAAATCACAATTCATAATTTACAGAATAATAATTATTGATTTGTCTATCATTCAATACATAATAAATCTTACACATATTACACATACTATAACTTATAAAATACAAATAATTAATTAATATATGACAGTAATCCGTTTTTGTAACCACCCACCCATTTTACAGGGTAGTTAAATTGAACTATATTGAAGTACAAGTTTAGCAATATTGTTACGACCTTCCTCGATAATTAAAAAAACAAACACATACGTCTCATATGTGAACAAAAAAAAATCGATAAATTTTTATTTTTATTTTTATTTTTGAATATCTATCATACATCCATGATGTATTCGGACTCGGAATGCCGTTAAAAATAAAATTCCTGTACGCAAAGGTAACAAAATGGTGTACCTAGGTGTATATTATGTATGGTCAAACAGCAGCTGCTGCAGTCGCGTACAGAACTCTGCATAAACACAAATCGATTTGATCACAGTTGGAAAGATACACCAAAATACATACCATAATACACATAATAATAAGATATTATAATATGCCACTGCAATATTATACTTTAAAACGGTTTAGGACTTTGGCAATGATCGTTTTATTGGGCGTACTTATATATTTCGCTCGCACACACACAAACACATGCTGAACACATTGTTGTATTAAATGCACTGCAACGATGTTACGAGGGCCGTAAGCAAATAAACATTAATCGTTCGAGTAAACAAATAAAATATATAGCAGCAAACGCGACCATCGTGGTCGATGTAAACGTGGACAGAATGTCAGAATACGTGTTTTGTATAAACTATAAATAATATAATATAATGCGGTATACCATGTATTGTGTCGTTCTATATTAAAATATGAGTACGTATATGTATAGGTTTATTTTATTATTATTATTATTATTGTGTTCGAAGAGTGGCTGAGCGGTTCGCGCCGGTCAAAGGTGTATTATTCAATCGACCGATTTGTGTCCCGGTGCGAGAATGCCGCCAGTCGCGGACGCGCAAGATCATCGCGACACCGGCCTGCCGACCCTAAACGAGCAGCACCTCCCTCATGCGAACTACGACTGCGTCAACGGTCGTAACGTTTCTCGTGAGTTATCATCAACTTTCTCCTCCACTATGCTAAGTCTTATCCTTTTCATCTCTCTCTCTTTCTCTCTATTG